CAGCTTGGCTACAAGGATGCTCGGTGAGACCATGCTGAGAGCCTTGCTAAAGTCAAGGTAAATGACAACCTCCGTGCTCTCCGCTGAGCCAGCCGTCTCACTGTGGAATGACGCTGTTGGCATAGAGCGCAGTGCTAAGAGTGACTCTTGAGCCTTTTTTGCACCAGCTGCTTTGGGAAAAACGTTATCCCCACTTTTGTGGCACAGAACAGTGAGGTAACTCACCCTTGATGCAAGGGAATAGAAATTAATGTACTTTAATCATTAGTTGATGTTTCTCCAGTCTATTCAGCACTATGTGTAACTTCCCAAAATCACCATTAGCACCCTTTACTTAGTACTTTTCTACATTGATAAGCTATATCAGCCAGAGAAAAATTCAAGCTGCTCTGCCTTTTTCAGTATAAACTCCCATGTAGTTATTTATTACTGTATGAGTTTGGCTAATCGCTGATTAAAAAGTTATAACTTTTATTGTTTGGGGAAGTTGCATCTTTGGGGAGGTGGTATGTGGGAGTGCGGTTGATATGGCTCTGTTTGTATGGTAGAATTCTTTACGCAGACAAGGGCCTCGGTACTGACCAGAACAGATGCTGAACTTGGTGATCAGATATTTACATCTCCAGTTTGAACTGCATGTTAATATTTTTAGGTCTTTGCTGCGAACATATAAACGTCTCAGTAAGGATCAAAGGCTCAGGAAAACGTTTCCATCTCTCTTTCAAGGAATGGTCAAGCTATTGCAAGAGAGTCAGTATTTCAAGTGTTTCCTGCAGTGTCGTTCTGCCTGGTCAGTCCCATCGCATGGGTTCTCTCCTGAGCTCGTTCTGGGTTCGCTGACTCCTGTAGATTTCAGTAAGCAGCTTCATGTTTTTTAATTAGCTTAATAAATTGAAATCGGAAGCTGTGGTACAGAGTAAAATCTAAGCTATGCTGCAAGATTTTGAGCAATAAGATGATAGTGGATTTACTTTTAACAAAACTCTCTGGTCCTTTAGTTGCCCATGACGGCAACTGAGAAATTATTTATCGCATTTGGATCTGAAGCTGTGTACACATATGGGCTCCATAGGCTCTTGTTGAGGTTGTTCCTGATGGCTGCTCTAGCTGGGGGAAGCTGAGGCAGAAAGCGAAAGCTACCTACCTGCCTATGGGGCCGTAGGGGAGCTCTGTGTAAGGGCATTGCCCACAGTTGTCTCCTTCTACTGTTTATTACACATCACTTAGGTCTTTCCTGCCTTTATCAGAAGATCTGTTAGTGCCACAGAGCTGCGGGCTTGCTAAATCTCACTATACCAACACTTAAAATGGATGATTAAGGAAAGATTAATGTCATAGATATATTGTGGTTACAGACTGTTGCTAGAAAACCAGTGAAGTGTAGAAATTATTTATATATTTTTCCATGCACGCTTGCTCTCTCCATTTAATTTGTGTTTTGCCCTCAAAGCCCGGTGCTAATATAGACAGTCCAGATTTCCTTACCTGGACGTTTACCCTGTTCAGATCCTTTTGGAATATGTGTCTTATGTCCTTAGCAGCAGAGGCAGTTAAAGCTCATCTCTCTCAGCTAGACAAAAGGAACAACAAATACCAGTGGTCTGGTAAAGTCTTTGAATAAAGCTGTAGCTAATTTCTATTTCAAATACTTGGAGGAATCGTTATTTTACTCACAGGCCACTTTTAAAGTTGGGCACATGCTGTGTTGTGCTCTTTTATGGTGTATAAAGAAGTCTTTACGCTCCTCTGGATTTTCCTTTAGCCTTTTCCTCCTTGACTGCTTCTATACTTGCAGGGTATATTTTTGCGGTTACTTATACAGCAGTTATAACCAGGCTGTCCCTGAGGGGGAGCCAATCTGTGAATGCGTGTTCCTCTCACCTCTGCCACCAGTGCTGGTGCTTGTTCCCCTGCCTGATGGTTTTTGACAAACCTCTGGATCTGGATGAAAATTAACTTACAAAGACCCGATAAATGTAATTTTCAGATGGATCAGCTCTCTGGACTAGCTGATCATGTGACATCACGAGCATTGGAGGACAAGACTTTGGGATCAAAAGGCAGCCTTATAGAGGCAATTGGCTTAAACTCATCTGACCCCACAGCCTTGGCTTTCGCGCTAGCAAAGTGAAGAATTCATGAAAGTCGGGAATATGAAAACTTGATACTTGTCACTTGATACTTGAGGATAGTGTCAGCCTGGGTGGCAAATGAACACCCTGCAAAGTGTTATTTTCATAATGAAGGTAGATCTGAAAATTGATGCTACCCACCAAAACATTCATTGACGTTTGAGACTAGGGGAGACAAGTTTCAATACTCTTAAGACTTTGGGTTTATAAAAATCAGAGATTATGGCAAAGCCAGACAAGCTTTTCTAGCCACCTTTTCCATTGTGGAAAATGCAAAATATCAGAAACCCATCCTTAACTAATTCCTTATCAGTTCATATTAAGACAAAAAGTTGCCTAAAAGTGGCGCAGTTGGTACAGACTTTCTGATAGCTGGTCTCACCACATTAAGTACTCTTGATTAGCCTTAACAGTTTTAACAGTACAGTTAAGTGCTGTTGATTAGAACCGAGTGCTGTGGATGCTAAAATGGGGAGAGCGTTCTGCAATCCAAAATATTTTGATGATCCTAAAGTCTTGGTCAGGACTGGACCCCAATGGGAAGACTGTGTAAATGGTTTGGTGGATGAGAGTCACGCATGCTTTCCATAGTATTACTACCCTTCAGCTCCTTCCCGGACCCTTTTCCATAAATCTGTCCCATTGCTCGCAGATGCGTCTGCTACTTCCTAGGACTCCGCTCCCTAGTAAAGGGCGATTCTTTTTGTGCAAAATGTACAATTACATCAACTAGCACAGCCTTACAGTAGGAAATTCAGAAGCGGAGGAAAAGACTGTAAACTGGTCGTTTTGATCAAAGCTGTAACGGTGAGTTGCTATAATACTGTTCTTTGAGGAAGACTTTTTTTTTTTTTATTTTGCCTGCTTGTATAGATCGGAGTACTCTTTCCACGTGCTAAATGAATGAGAATGGTGATCCTCGGGAACTAGCATCTGAATGAAAATGAGCTACTCTGCTCAGTTATGGAAGTAGATCCTGAGGGAGTTATGCTTTCTGACTTGAAAGCAAATATACTAATATCAGCGCAAACACCAGGAGTCAGTTACAGGATTTTGTTTTGTCCATGTGATGTTTTTTGTGCCACAGTTCTTTCTTGAATATCATTATATTGAATGAATGTAATTGGACTAAAGTGTTATAGAGGAACAGCAACGATGATAACACCTCGATCTTCCGTCTTTTTACCAAGTCACTTTTTTTGTTGTTTGTTTAATGCTATCCATTGAGCAGAAAAAAAGAGTTGGAAGTCTTGCAAGGAATGTAAAGAAGTAGAAACGTACAGTGAGAGACTTTCAGTACAATATGAATGTTGATCCTTTAAAATCACAAATCATCTTTCTAATAATTCACTGCAGAATAAGGTCTCTTCAAGATAAGACTCAGCAGTGCTGTGGAGTTGGTATTTAAAGTATGTCCATCTGCATCTAAACGAGTAGCTCCAAGACAATCAGATTATGCAGTAGTTACTTTGGTGAGAATATCGCCTAAGTGGAATGGAAACTTCATTTTGAGTCTAATATTAGACCCTGCTTTGGAAAATTCCTTTTAAATGATCACAAGCTGGGAATAGCAAAAGAATTTAACTTTCGACAGACAGCATTCACCAAGAATTTGTTTTTAACTGCTTATGTTGGGTCCCTGGGAAAGCAGATGTGAAAATCTTACCAAAGTGAATTGACTTGACCTGATGCAATGTTTATATCAGTAGTTGATAAGTTTTCCTCCCTAGTCTAATTTGTTCAGGATATTTTCATTCTTTGAGCATGACCAAGGCTGGGTTGGAATACTTTGAATGCTTGCTGGTCTAATAATCTGAATCTTAAAGCATGCAGACATTGTTGCCTATAAAGGGGTTTAAACAAAGTTGCGCTATTTTGGTTATCTTCTACAGATGGGGACAAGTATCAGTTTTTGAAACTAACACAGAAGAATGTGAGACAGTATTGTTTAACTCCTAATGTTTCACAAAGCACGGTGAAATCTGCTGTATTTATGCTTCAAAATGCTACTTGCATTTGGTGAACTCTGTGAATGCAGAGATCAATGTGTCTCTTTATGCAGCTTTACAAAGAACTGACTTTCAGTGGCAGCTATGGAAACTGGCTACCACCATGACAAGATGGATTCAAAGGGTCATGATATTCTCATTATTCCTGTTGCAGAAAGGACTTTCGGGAGTTATAAAATACACTGTGAACGATGTGCAGCTTAGGGACCTTTAGAGCCACTAGTACCTCTCATCATAGCTTTTCTCTTTGTTAAGCAGACACTGTCTCTTTGAATATTTTAATTGATTAATTCCTAAACAAGCCCCCTTCTATACAGAGTGTGCCTAAATAAATTATTTTTGCAGTAGGGAGGAGGAAAAGAGCAACTCATGGAGCAAGTTGACCTCTTTTCCCCTCGCTCTATCCTGTCCGCATGCTTCTGAGGTTCAGCCATCGATGCTGCTGTTTCCATGTTTGAGAAGAACATGGACAGGAGCTCCCTGCAAAGGAGGAGCCAAACCTGACCACCTCATGCTAACGCATGAGGCAAGAAGAGAAACAAGCATCAACAAAAATAATATAATTAATTTGATGCCAGGGTGACAGTTTCCCTGAAGAAGAAATTACAAAGAGAACATCAGTGTTTTTCACTGTTCTCTTTTAGTGTTAGGTAGATTTATGTGATCCAGGAATGAGATTCTCAGATGGAAATCAGATTACGCTTTTAAGCGCTGTAAAACTTTGCCTCTTGTCTTGTATGAGGCCTGAAATGAACTTCTCTATCTTTTGATTTATACCTGCATGTCCATAATTCTGCTATAATTTCTGATCTTTTAGGAATTTCTAAAATGTCTGAATTGCTAATCTGTCTCCTTGCAGGCAAGTCTCACCTGGCTATAGTACAGAGAGTAAACAATGAAGGAGAAGGGGATCCTTTTTATGAAGTCCTGGGAATTGTCACTTTAGAAGATGTGATTGAAGAGATCATCAAGTCTGAAATTCTGGATGAAACAGACCTATACAGTGAGTAGAAAGATTTGCACTTTGTTTATGTATTCGAGAGAGAAGATCCAACCAGCAGCATCTGGGTCTAACAGCTTTGTTTTGAGAGATGCAAGATGCTGATTTAAAATCTAAAGGGTTGAATGACCTACAAATCCCTTAGATGGTCATAGTAACTTATGTTTTTAAAGCATGGGCGCCTCACCCCATTATGCAATGTTAATATAGAAACAGGGCAGCTTGCTTTATTTGACCCTTCCACCTAGAAGATTTACGCTTGCAACGTTCTGGTCTATTTTTGCTAGCTGTTCTCCACCACAGCATTTTGTTACAGTGCTCAGGACCTCCCACGTTTTCCCCTCTCCTCTTTCCACCTCAAGGGCCTGTAGTGTGTGTACTGTGCTTTAGTAAGAAGACAGGCAGATAACCAGGCCTCCAGGAAGGGGAATGGAGTCTGTGTAGAGCCTATCTCTGTCACTCACTCAGAGCCTGAGGAGGGAAAGGCTTCTTCAAGGCTGCAAATCAGTGTCCTAAATGACTCCTCCTTTTACCACTCTGTACGACTCCTTTCTTCCTTAATGTTAACACACATTGAGGAAGACGATGTTACAGGTAGAACGTTATTTGGGACTTGGGAGATCTGGACTCTTTTCTTTGCGACTTTAGAGGTTCTCTCATCTTTGACCGGTTACCTAAGGTGTCTTTGCTACTGTTCCCATTGGCACAATCTGGCATGTGCACGTTGGACTTCCTTTCCATCATTCCCTACGCCTCTTTTCTATCCGTTGTTCTCTTGCAGGCAGGTGCTATTTCTTACTATATGTTTGTGAAGTACATAGCAGAAGGATATCTCCAGGTTCTGTTGTCATACAGAAAATCATTAAAAATGTCTTTAATGCTGTTCAGATGTTCTTTGCTCTCTCTTTCTTTTCCTGTGGAAGGGATCTGACTATTTCTGCAAAAGCTATTCCATGCGAACATGAGCATCTTCTGTCTGCCCTTTAACCTGAATGGATTCTTTCTACCCTGGGGCAGACATACTTCTACCACTTTTCTTAATAGACTGTTATTCCCTGAACTACTTTCAGTAGCTGATCGGTATTTTGCCGATGTTTGTGTGACCAAAGTCTCGCGTAAAACCAGTTGTGTTTTATACTACACTAAATAGTCTAATTACTATCCAAATTGCAGAACTCCAATTGGTATCAATGTTTCTGTTTGTTCAGACTCTCACAAATGAGTTGTTAGGTGAATCAGTTATGACCTAATGCTTTTACAGGGTGAATTCACACTTTCTTTTATAATCTGAAACGATCTTATCTGTCTTGTCACCTCTGAGTGACATCCATGTTCTTACAAGTGAAAATAATCTGTGTATGCTTTTCACTGCTGGTTGTCTTTGTTTATTAAAAGAAACCGCATGGATCATGCTATTGTTGGTCCTGCAGGAAAAAGAGGTTAGACTATTAATAGCATGTTAGAGGGCAAGGAAACGAGAACTTAATTTTACTATCTGAAGACTTCCTAGATTAACAAAGTAGAGCTGGTAAGCATGAGTTCATTTGAAACTGTCCTTCCTGGGAAAGTTTTATTACCAAAAATCCATGGGTCAAGAGTAGGAGGGGAACTTAACTTCCTGTGCTGCCTGGATGATGCAGGAAATTTTGAGGGGGCTGGCTCCTGCTATGTACCATTAAGATGACCTTCTAGTCTCCTTATAAAGTACTAGAATTCATCCCACTGTTCAAATCGAAGGAAACTATGGAGGTAGTGAGGAGAAGAGAAACGCACATAGAAGCTGAGAAGATCACAAAATGTGGCGTGTTTTGCATTTGAGCAGCTTGGGATGCTGTAACTGTTTCAAATTGGTACAGTGATAGGAACGCATTTTTGCATTACTGAAAGTAGCTTCTGGTCCACAATATGCTAAGCTGCTGCTTTTTGGTGGTGGTGTGTGTCAGTGCTAGTAACCCCACGGAGCATTTGAGTTCTCTGATACTGTCCATTGTAAGACCATGCTAGCTTGCTTACAACTTTGTCGAATTGGAAAGTTTTGGGCTGATTTGCCCTGTGCTAGATGTTCACTTAAAAGTAGACCTTGGGACAAATTTTGGCAGCCTTATTATACTTTTGTTCTGAAGTTTTAAAAAATTTTTATTGTAGTTTGATGGAAACTTGAAATCTGATGAAATGGCTACGTTGGTATTAGAGATGTGCCTTTCCGTCATTTCCGTGAAAATCTATTTGAATGCTTACGGTGGAAGCAATTGTAACTTTGCAGTTTTCACAAGAAGGGGCCTGCTGAAGTTCTGCAGCTAAATTCCTCAAGAGTTGTGTAGCTGAGAGACGTGCAGTATTTCAGACTGCTCTAGTCTGCTACGCCTTATGGCTTATAGGGTGAGAAGTATGGCTTGTTGGTGAGAAGTTGAGAGCAAGAGAAGTTGGTTAATATCTCTGACATCTGAGCATCTTGTTGGGCAAAGTGCTTCTGAGCATGTGGCTCCATGTTGGGGATGCAGATGGCACGGAGAGAAAAGGTTTCTGTTGTGACACAAGCAGGCTCTGACAAGATTTCAGTCAGCGTCAGGAAGATTTGTCCGTGTGTTTGGCTCTGAGTATTGGAAAGTCAGTGCATTTTTTTTCATGGCAAGCTCAAGGCACTGCAGGAGTCTGTCCCTGCACTCTCAGGTCCCTAGCAGTGGCAGGAGAGCACTTCTCAACCTTCTTGGAGGCCCAGGAGGGGAAGTGCAAGTCTTGTGTTGGTCTTGGTGGTGACCACGGACTCTGTTTCACAGACGTGGAGTCACCACCCTGGCTCAAGTTTGATTGGCAGCTTGTTTTAATTAGCAGTTTCTAATTGAAATTGAGTTTAATTGTCCTCTCTTTTAGTGCACCTTGGATGCTGCTGTCATGCGCACACGCCCCCCCTTCAGGGAGGTTTTGTCCCCCACAAATCCTGGCCTTATCTACAAACAAAATATCAAAACACAGCCCCTGTGCACGTGGTCCATATGTTTCAGGTAAACAGCCTGGTGCTAAGCACCAGCTGTGTACCTCTCCCTGCATTTTTACATCCTTACCTGCACTGTGTTCAGTCGTCTATCACAGCTAATGCAAGCCTTGGCAAGCAGATGTTGTAGGATTGCGCTGTGCCAGTCCATGGGGCACACGAGTTGTTACAGAGCTGCAGTACTGCAGCTGCAATAGCTTTGGACGAATAATTTTTTAGCCTTGACCAGTCGCTTCCCTCAGGGGAAGACCACGTCTTACCCTAACATTCCTTATCTCCAAACAGCTGTCAAAACAGGTATGTTAAAAATATATGTGCTAGTAAACGTTATGCAACTTCTCCCATTCAAATGACAGAGCTACAGAAATAAAAATTGCTTGCCCTAGTAAGTATTTTCACTGGTCATCCAGTGAAAACATAGAAAAGGCTGTGCAGCGCTGATTTGTCTGGCAAGACCTACAGGTACTGGCGGAGGGTGTACAGCAGGGGAGCAGAGCTTTCTCTAGTTGGAGTCTAATGTTTAAACATACTAAGATTGTCACTGTGCTTTAGAAAGCGATGTCTTTACACCATTGGCAGTTACAATTGTGGACCTGCTAAAGTTTTGCCTTCTAGCACTGGTAGGCTGCAGGATCTGCATGCTTCCAGAAAGCCATTTTAGGCTGCTTTAGAGCTTAAGGTTTAGTCAGGCTGAATTTCTGTCAGTTACCAAAACATATGTGATACATGGGGCAACCTGTTTTTTCCAGCTAGAAACAAAAGGAAAGCTAGCATAAGTAGCTTAGTTAGTTCTTAAACTTTTCATTTAACATGAAACAAATCCACAGGCTTAAAAAGAACTGTGCCGTGTATGGGGCATAGATAGTCAACCTGAGTGGGGCATAGGTAGTCAACCTGAGTGCTGGCATCATTTGGAGAAACGATGAAGGAGCCGTGGGGTATTTTCTGAGCAGAGGTAGAGAGCAAGCCTCTCACGTGCACCTCTGACCGCCTAGGCCAGGTGGTGTGGTACTGAGTATGGGTGCAGGGTCAATGAATCTAGTCCACTGGGGATTGTACTTCCTTTTCTTGGAGCGTCTGATGAAAGCAAATCCCAAGCAATAGCTAGTCCATCCTTTGTTTTTATACAGTCCTGATGTGCCAGAGTGAACTATACTTCCATTGGATGAGATATTTTTGTCCTTATTCTCTCGTCTGGAGTGCACTGAAGGTGTCTGCCTTGTTAATACAAGTTGTAAAGAGAAGAGGACAGAAATAGAACAAGAACCTTCCCAGAGCGTTGTCCAGGCACATTTGCTTGTGTACCTCAGCCTGTTTTCCAGCCTGACTGAAGGGCACTCTGAGGTCAGAGCTCCTCTCTTGGACCCCTCCTCTTGAGATCTCTCCTCAGCCCACGAGCAGACAGTCAGAATTGTTGCCTTTAATTTTCAGGAAAAGACTAAATATATCCAGAACCTACTGAAGAGAACTACAGTTCTTGTTGGCATCTCACCAAAGGTTACACTGAGGGCATCCTTCATGCTGCTGCATTGCATGTTGGTCACATTGCAGAACCCAACAGCATCACAGTCAGTGCTCTGCAAACAGAGATGTCTCAAGTGTGTCAGGATGACTTAAATGCCAAAGTCTCCATCTCACTTACCTTAGAAAAAATAGATAGAAAACAACTGGTACAGATTCAATTACTTTTGTCACCATCCTTGGTTCCTGCATCTTATAAGAAGCTAGGAAGTTGGCTAAATAGCAAGGAACAATTAAGACTATTCCTTACAAAGCTAAGCCAAGGTAAAGGCTTTAAGTCGTATGGCTCTGCTCGCCCTGCATAACATTCTTCTTGGGGGAATGTTTTTGGATAAGCTGCCAAGGGAACAGTAGGAGGAACTGAAATCTTCCATCATTTGTTTAAGATACCTGTGTGTCCTACCTTGATGACTCTGATGCAGGCAAAAAGATTTCAGGTGTTCTTCCAAGGTCTGGTGCTGCTCCTGTATGCAGGTACCAGAAGTGCGGTGTGAAGTCTGCAGTGGTACAGCTCATTCACAGGAGAAGTACCAAAGTCCATGATTGCCCCGCTGAAGAGACTCTTTCTCGTCCGAGGGCCAAAGCCCGTACGTCTGGTGGTTCTGCATCCTTGAAGAGAACAATGACAGAGCTCCTTGTGAGCTGGCGTCTCAGCCGCAGCATACTTTATAAAACAGCATTCTCTTGAGTTTTCCAGAAAAAGCACCCATTCTTCTCTTCTTACTCCCCACTAACTTAATATAAGACGTAGGACCTAACAAGAGCTTCTGGGGGACTTTTCTTCACTTTTCTGTTATTTTGGGACCCATCTTTCCTTTTCCTGCAAGTATAGTTAAGGGCTGTGTCAGCCTTACCTATCGCTAAGTCAGCATTTTCAGTCTGTAACTATCCCTTTGGGTAGTTTCTAATCCCTCTGTTGGAAGAGAAATTCAAGTCCCTGATGCAGTCCAAGCCCTGGGTGAAGTACTGCTAGGGTAAGAGGCTTCTGGTTCCAAACAAGAAAAAGGGCATGGGTTGTCATCCTTCTTCTCTCTGTGCTTGGGGACAAGTCTCTCTCTTTGCCGGACTTGCACTTCTCACAAAATGACCTTCAGATAGCTAGAAAAGGTATGTTGCTACCACTCCAGTCCTGCTGTTGGGTCTGTGGTGGTCCGATAGTGGAGGCTTGCCATCTCTGCATACACAGCCCAAAATTTAGTAGCAGCCAAAATTTAGTCCCACATCCTCAGCTTCACCTACAGCTTTTTGTATGTTTACCTCAACAGGTAACATCAGTAAGTCACAACTGGCTCTGGTCCCTCAAACGTCCAGGCATTTTAAGCCAGTGACTAGACCTATAATACACAAATACCTGTTGTGTTTTCAAAATCTTTTCTCGCTAAGGCCCTAGAGTTTGAGCCGTGCCTGAGGTCTGAGGAGCTTGCTGTAATTGCCTCGAGGCACCTAAAGCTCCTGCACTATACGGTGTAGATGTGACAGCATTATAGTGCTTACAAGCAGTGCCACCTTATGTGCTGCATCAACAGAGAAGAGCAAGCCCCTGCTATAGCAGAGACTTACTCTCCCAGGAACTGATGTGTGCCATACCCCAACACACCTAGAGCTCTCTACATGCCTGGTTTCCAGGACGTTTCGGCAGATTGGCTCAGCAGGTGGATAATGACAGCTGGATCGTTTGTGCCTCTGCAGCTCCATTTTTGCGTGCTATGTTTCACAAATGGGGATTCCCCATTAGGGAACTTGTTTTAAGACATAGATGAAATAAGTGGCAAGTATTTTGCCGAATAGGGGGTGAGAGTCCAGGATCACTGGCAGGCATGTTCCTGCATCTTTACTCATGAAAGTACTCTGTACTTCATTCTGGCTTGGTGCCTGTAAAATGGCCACAGTCTGTGCAGCTTTTCAATTTTTTCTGAAGCTTGGCTCCATCCAGGACAAAAGAACCTGTGTACTTTAGACAGTGAGAGTTGCTTAGACTGGACATGCAGATTTTGCCAAGCTGTGAAGAGCTAGTGAAGCCGTGGTACGTTGTAAGAAATAAATGAACGTATCTTCCCCCACCCTACAGACATATGCAGACATTATGTCTAATATGCAGAGCCTGGACTGCCATTAGATGTTTGCAAGCAGATATTTCCTCCCATTGACGTGATAGAGACTATGGGTGCCAAGATCTGCAAAACGGGCTCACGGCAAGATGAGTCCGCAGCACAGGTCACTGGTTATTTCTCTTTTATAACGTGCGTCAATGAGCAGGGTTTTGCATGTGCTGCAGCGGGGTCTGTCTGCACAGTTTGTTCTGGGCTGTCCTGGCTGACTACGTCCAGCACGGTCCATGTCAGACCCTATTCTAACAGAACTCGCTTCCTTCCTTTCTTTTCCCACCCTCCCTTCCCCAGCTGATAACAAGACGAAAAAGAAAGTAGCCCATCGGGACAGGAAGCAGGACTTCTCTGCCTTCAAACAGACAGACAGCGAGATGAAGGTTAAAATATCACCACAGCTCCTCCTGGCAATGCACCGTTTCCTGGCAACAGGCAAGTGTGGCTTATCTGTTTTGTGATCGTGCCAGAGCCTCGAAGGCAGTTTGTCAGCAAAGGCCAGCGAGGTGGGTGGGACAGTGTAGGCGGGAAGGGAGGCTGGGTTGTGGGGTGACAAATAATGCCACTTTTGTGTTTTTCTTTTTAAATTCTCTCCTCTCCTGTGTTCAGTGTCGGCATGAACCCTCTGAGACATTTACCAGGGGTGGACCAGTAACTTTAAATTGGTCTGAAAGGTAAGGATGAATGCCAAGTGCCGCACTGCATGTCTAGAGTCCGTCAGATTAACGACTAGCAAGTACACCCCATTAGGAAGAGCTCAGGGAACAAACCAAAGAGGACTCGATACCACTGGCCAGCTGACTGTAATTCCACTCAGGCGTCTCATCCAGAAAGAAATGCTGGACTTTTTTGCAGGAAAGCATAAACCTGTTCCGTGAGACTTTTTTGACTTGAAATGAAAAACTCTGCTGACACGTTTAATACAGACTGCACAGGTGGTTGGACTGTAATTTAAAAAATGGATTTCTTGCTGGCTTGCATGACCTCCACTGATGGCTTCAGGTTTCAGAGGACAGTTGTCTGCATCCCAGATCACCTTGATGCTTAGCCCGTGGGTGGGCAGTCTGGCAGAGGGGCCAGGGCTTGAATGGTTTCTTGCAGCTGACACTGCCTTTCGTCGTAGAATTGGTCCCTTCACCTCAGAGATAAGACCTGTTAATGGGAGAGCTTGTGGAAACCATACCTTCCTATTGCTCATACTGTCTCTCTTTGATACGTAAAGACTTTTCAGATGTGGGCCTTTCAGATGGGCATCTTCACTGCTGTGTTCAACACAAGTTCATGGGTTGCAAATGATAAAGCTGTTTTCTCGAGCTTGCCAGCTCAAGTTGGAAATTAGTACTTCCCCTCCTCTAAGATGCAGTGACTATCAGCCTAGATGCACCTAGTCCGTCTTCATGCTTTGTTTTGCCTCTGTGACTTAAAAGACACATGTACGTGATGGGTTATCACATCTCAGCTGAAGGGCAGTAATTCCTTAAAAAGCTCAGACTCCTGCTGCTTATGTGCATGTGAGCATGTCCTTGGTGAAAGGAAGCAGTTCAAAAGGAAAACTCGGATTTAACAGCAAGCAAAACTTTGTTCATGTTGTGCAAGACTTCATGGAGTTCCCTAAACACCTCCTCAACAGATATGGTCTTACAGTACTGCCTCTCGACTTGTTTTGTGAATGAAAGAATTGTGTAGTTTAAATCCAGAGCTGACTATGAAGCCACTACTAAATGAGTTGAATGCTACAATTTTGTTTTCTCCATTCTAAATTAAGAATAGTATCTCTAGCAGATGAAAGGTCCAATTCTGAAATGAGGTATTAGGAAAACTTATCAATTTGCATGTTTAAATGTTGACATCACTGGGCTAACTCTCCCACACAAAGATGAGCTTTTTCACTTCAGACAGCTCCTGTTGGGAGCACTGATTACTGCAGGGCAAGCGGATAGGGGATGTGTTCTGTGTGTCAGGTATTAATCCCACATGGTTTGAATTGACCTGCACTGTCTCTCACTTTGAGTCACTCTTTC